CAACCCCCTGTGCTGCCTTACTGAGGGGCCTGTGGATTGTCCCTTACCCTGCCTGCTCCTGTTTTCCCGTTCACGTCTCCTCTCCCTGGCTAAATCCCTGTGAGGTTGGGTAGATGTTTCCAAATTACTCTGGACTCCTCACAAAAAGATGTCAGGTAAATGAATGCATTAACAGGCACAGTCACACAGTCACCTGTTAGGCACATACTGTGTGTTAGAAATAAAATCCCTGAGGGTGGACCACGGCTTTGGTATTTTTAAAAGCTCCCTGTACACCAAGCGCTGAGATCCATTGAGCTTGTTGACAGGGTTCTTGGACTCCGAGCATCCTATAATTCTTCTGGACTAGATGTAAGGGAGAACTTTGTCACTCTCCCAGGGCCCCTTCTAAGATGTTTGGCTAGTTAGAATCAAGTATATTTTTACTTTAACATAAAGCAAAGCTGAGCTGAACCCCGGAGGCTCCTGCCATGCTCGGCTATAAATTGGCCTCGTGATTGTGTTCCTGCTTTCAGCAAACTCTGCTGCCACCTTCTGGTGGAAAGCACCTCTGAGCAAGAAGGATGAGGAGCCGTTGAAGTGCTTGAACTGAAAGCTAAATAGGAGCGAGAGTGCCGCTCAGAGGACTGTTTCCCCTCCATGTAACAGCACTTCATCACAGCCTCTCAGTGCGGTGTGCGCACGCTCGGCAGGGGCCCATCTTCAGACGTTAAGGGCAGCTCCCTCTGAAGGCTCAGCACCTACAACCTTCCAGGTAGGATCAGAGGCCACAATTGCAATCAGGCACAAAAATGAAGGTGCTGGTCTTCCCTGGGATCCCAGTGTGCCCTTCTCATCCATCACGGCCGTTCCACCTGAGCCTCTTTGGAAGGGCCCCTTGGCAGTTGGGGGATTCAACAAGAAAATGCTTCTTTCTACTGCTTAGGCAGCAACTTTAACAAAGTATCAACAAATATGGGGTGGAAAAAGCCTTTTCTTCACTTTCCATCTTTGACAGGTCGTCCCTCACAGCCGCTCAACTCCCCAGTGGCTGTAGCTTTCGAAGTAACCCCCAACAGGTTATAGGATTAAGTATAATAAAATTCAAATACAGATTCTTATTCAAAAAAGAAAACTTTCTAAATCTCTGTAAAGGCTACCATATTAATTTCCTGGTGTTCCCACAACAAAGTACCACAGACTGGGTGGCTCCAAGAACGGAACCACAGTTCTGGAGGCCGGAAGTACAAGATCAAGGTGTCAGCAGGGTTGGCTCCTTCTGAGGGCTGTGAGGGAATCGTTCTAGGTGCCCCCCCCCCACCCTTAGCTTTTAGATGGCTGTCTTCTCCCTGTGTCTTCACACCATCTTCCCTCTATGTATCTGTCTCTGTGTCCAAATTTCCCCTTGTTATAAGGACATCAGTCATATTGGATTAGGGCCCACCCTAAGGACCTTATCTTGATTGCCTCTGTAAAGACCCTATATCCAAATAAGGTCATATTCTGGGGTATTAGGGGTTAGGACTTCAACATGTGGATTTTGAGGAGATGGAATTCCACTCATAATGGCTATTGTGTGCTTTTATAAAGAAAAATGGTACCTATAAAAAAGAAGGTAGCTGAGGGGAAAGGCTTCATGGGGGTGCAGCTTCTGTTTCCTCCCCTCTGGACCGTGGCCCGGGGCCTCTGGCATCTTATGCTTTCCTTCTGCATAGGTGAGAGAAAAGCCCGAGGCCTCATCCAAAGGCAGTGCTCCTTTTCAAATGAAATCAGGACCATGTTCGACCCCACAGCGTTTTCCAAATGTGACAGAAGCAGAGATCAGAGTGAATTTGGTTGTGGCCCCGGGGCTATATGATAGATAATCAGGTAACCGTTGGGTTTACAGTTAGCAGAAGTCACTCAAGTGCTGGAAAGTCCGCTGTAGAATTGTCAGCCCGTGTATATCATTGATGCCCTCAGGCTTCTCTTGGGTCTTTGGAAAACGAATTAATCAGGCAGGGAACTGTGTTGAAATATTGCTGCTGCACTAACAGTTTTCAAATGAGAGGCCATAATCCTAAATCCACCCCGTGAGACATCCCAGATGAGTGCCAGCTTTTTCCTTGGGTCTGTTTTCCTCTTATCAGTGACCTATCTGCTGGTCGCTAGGGAATCCTTTGAATAGGGCTTTGGGGGGTTGGCAGAAGACCTGGCATCCATGTGTTGCCAAAACTTCAGACTTCAACATAGTAGTTTTCATCTGAATTTTACACACCCTTCAAGGACACTCCAATTCCCCCCTTCTACTCAAGGCTTCCTGCTTAAAGCCCCTGTGGTCCCTGGTCATTGAGAAAGAGTAATGTAACCTCTGATTCTGAATCTAAATTTTTTTTAAGTGCGAAGGTAGGAAGCTTAGAGAAGCTTGGGTCCAAGGCTCCTTGCCTCTATAAAATCCCACAGCAGTGTGACGTGACGCCGTCCAGCCACTCTGTCCTGATTCCTGTAGCACTAGCATCTGTAGCCCTCTCAGCTCCTAAGAAAAGGGTGAGCTTTTGGATTCCTGCTGCTGTCGGACAAAGAGACCTCCCACTTCAATCCACCCCCAAGTGATTGTGCTTTGTGCGGTAACCCCCACTGTGAGGTAGATACGAATATAATAAAATGTAAATATAGAACTTGAGGTTAAAAAAAAGATTCAAGACTTCCCAGAGCCCAGTGGTGGCTGCTTGGTGTTTGAAATTCAGGGATCTCTGAGAAAGCAGTCTGGTGAACCCAGAGATGGAGGGGACTCCAGAGCCAAGGGGATGATGTTAGGTTGAGGCACCGAGAAGCCTGTGTATGCATTTGTGGTGATGCTGTGGGTTTAGACGAAAATGAGTGCAGCGAGGCAGGACGAGTTCCTGTGCTCTCATGGCAACGGGAGGAACATCGGCCAAAAGATAAGAACAACAGAAAACAGAAAAAAACAGAGCGAGGCTGGGGAAAATAGAATCCAGGAATTGCTGACAGAAACAGGGGCTTGGTCCAGGAAAAGGAAATAAGGGACGTACAGCCCACGGTAGCCTGGAGAGAAATCCATGCTTTCCCGGGAGGTATTTTGGCAAAGAATTTCCACTTGAAACCACGGTGAGGGTTTGGACCCAGAAAGGGGAGGATCCTGCTTCCGTGGGGCCCTGGGACTGACCCCTGAAGTGGTTGTAGTTAAAAAGAGCCTCGCCCCTGAGGGTTAAGAGCTCGCAGAGTGTGGAGGCCCCATGGACTCGGCCTATCCCGCTGTCATGAAGCTCTGCCTTTCGTCTCAGCTCTGCCCTAACATTTCCTCACACCACATTCCTGATCTTATGAGAGTCTATTGGGTCACTGTCTTTTAAACAGTAGGCTGAAGGTACGTATGTGTTTCAGGGAAAAGGTTGAACAAAAGGGAGGGTTGGAAATGAACCTAGAAATGAGAACTCAGAAACTTCTCACCTTTGATGCCCTACCCTGGCTCTGAGAAGTGAACTTAGACCTCCCTAGGTTAGGAAGCCCTACTTTTGGGGTCCCCCTGAGGGTATCTGGCTTCCCTGCGATGCAGTCCGCCCTCGTAAAGGGCTTCTTCTTGGTTAGTGAGTGAACAGACTGTGTTTAATTTGCTCTTTTCCTTTATTTCTCTGTGTTTTAAATAATTTTAATATTGAAAAAGCTTTGCAGTCTTTGACCACGTGTGTGTATTAGAGTCTAGGTGGAAATAAAAATACACTCTCTCACACACACACCCCCACACATAAACACACATATGTGGAATAAACAACAGTAGGGCTTAAGGCCACAGAAATACCTAAATACTCTCCTTTTGTTTACTTGTCATACCAACTGTTATCACGCCTTTACCTTCAGGTCTCAGAATTTAAAATATATCTTGGATTCTCAGAGCACTACGTGCACAGGAAGAAACTCTGGCATCTCTGTGGACAAATAATTGTGTGTGCACATCCACACAGCAGTTCAGCAGATGACAGAGCTGAAGTGTCGTTCTGTCTGTCATCCCATCTCTGAGATCTGGCTGTGTTCTCTTGCCAAAGCACCAGATCCCATTTCTGTTTCTGAAGCCACCAGGTCAGGAGCAGGTTGGATCCCTGAGGAGCCCATCTTCGTGCTGGGAGCTGGAGGGACTTACACGTGCCACATTTTTGAGAATAAAGTCATGTTATCATTTTCTTCTAAGATAGACAGCTGGTACTTGTGTCTCTTCAGTGATGGGCTATGTAGGACTTGAGGGTTATAATTTGAAGAAAGGAAAATTATAGCATACACGTATATACACACATATACACACTGTATCTCTCCTTAGAAAACTTTATCCCTTACAGCTACCCTATAAAGTAGGGTTTATTACCCCCATTTTACAGATAAAACAAATAAGGAGCAAAGAAGGTTGAGTTACTTGCGTGATGTCCTATAGCTGTACTAATCAGGAAATCAGTGGGTTTAACCCACTGTGTCTGTCTCTAAAGTCTGAACGTGGTCCCATTTCCCCATGTGTATCTTAGCACAACTAGCACAGGTCGGATTAGCTGCCTCTGACCTTAAATGGTTACCATTTTAGGTTAAACATTTGCTGGACATACTTTCACTCCCCAGCCGCAGGGATCGCGTTTGAAAACAAATACAGCGTTCGTGAGTTCAAGACCATGTTCAGGTTCTCCTTATTGGCCTCAGGCCTGTGATATACCACAGCACATTCCCAAAGCGCTGCACTTAGAGGGCAGGGATGTGTCTTAGCCAGCATTGTTGTTTTCTGCGTCCCTAGCACGGTGCTGTGATTTAGTGAGGACTTAAACCTTGGTGTAATGAACACGTCGGTCCACCAGAGAAGCGTATGCTATGCTAATCCTTGCGGAAGCATCCCCAGCCTAACGCACCCCACTTCTACCTCCACGTTTCCCAGGCACAAGTCATTGGGAAGAATCATGAACATGTGTTCCTACTCATGAGGAGCAGTTATAAATTGATGCCAAAACTTAGTCTTACGGCCGCTTGCTTTCTTTTTCTCCCCCCAGTAAGCGACAGTGGAGACCACCTAAGCCAGTGGATGAGACATGAACACAGTCGTGGGAGAGAAGTTTCTCCACTCCAGAATCACTCAAAGGAACTTGGCTGAGCCCCACGATACACAGAGTAATGATCAACTGGATTTAGGAGTTCGAGACGTCAGGGGAACCTTGGACCATAGGCTGACCAGCAGATGTGATGTGAAAAATACCACACTACTCTGTCCTTTGCTGTTGCTTGCTGAACTGTGGAGAACTGCATGAACTATATTTAAGCTGCTTCCTATACCATTGCCGATCACCTTTTTGGACTTGGAAGTGCTATTTTCCTATTGACACTTGCATTATGTCATTTTGCATGCATCCAGTCATTATACATAAGCAACATATGTAACCTGCTTATATATTTTTTAAAATCCATCCATGCAAAATGGTAAATAAAGTATAAATTCTCTTTTTTGCAAAATTATAATCATAGCCCATGTCATTAAAAGTTTAAATTGGTTTCATATGAAGATCAGTGTAATAGGTCTGCATATACTTTATAGAAAACTAGCTTCTATAAAGATTTTTTCACTGTTTACTAGTGAAATGAGAAAAGCAAAGCTATTTATAAAAGGCCTTATGTTGTGTACATACATTGTCTTTGAAATATTTGTGATTTAGTTTATTGCTTGTAAAAGAGAAATTATATAATTTATTTAGTAAATACTATTGTAAACTATAGTTTTATTGAGAGAAATAAAATATTTTGTTCTCAGTTGTGGTATTACATTAATTCCAATGATTTATGGTCTTTACATTTCTTTATTAATTAAAAATAACCTAGGCACTCTTCATTTTTAGATATTCAGGAAGCCTATATAAAGTGACTCTCATGACAGATGAAAATGGAGAGAAAATTCTCAGGGCCTTGAGAAAAGACTCAATAGCAGATTCTGCTCAACTCATCCAAGAGACTTTCTCAGATGTCCTGCTGTATTAGTCAGCTTTCACTATGTTATGCTGTGATAGAAAAGCAAACATAAATCTCTGGATCCCCTAAATCTCTGGATAGGGGGTCCAGAGCAGCCCCTATCTAAGACATGCCACTTGAAGGCACAAGAAAAAAAAAGTGATAGTGGAACCAAGCAATGGGAACTCATAAAGCTTCTGCTTAAAGGCAGCTTCCAGTACTTCTTGCATTGCACTGGCCAAAGCAAATGACATTGACAAGTTTGACATCAAAGGGGTGGGAAGTATACATCTCACATAGGAATGGACTCAGCAGAGAGAGGCCGTGAAGAATTTTAAGCAATTAATGCATCTACACCATCTCATGAGTGTCCCAAGCAGCAGATGCTTAAGAGGTTGCACAATCCTACACTGGGGGGAAAATTATTAGAAAGCAAAATGACCAAGGCTGCAGAAAGACATTCCTGATGAGTAAGATGCTCAGTGTAAAATACTACAGGTTAAAGCAAGCTGATTCTTGTAAGCAAACATGGTATTAACTTTTGTAAGTAGAGCCTAGAGCCACGGTTACTCGGTATAAGCAGTAATTTTACCTGCAGACTTGCTGCTGAGAATCTGTCCTGGGTGGGGATGTCAATGGGAAATTCTACTGAAGCGGATTACTGAGGATTCTTTGCCTCTCTCTCCCTCGTATTCTTTTGTGCTAGCAGATACTCTCCCTCACTACAGGGGTTTACCTAGCTGGAATTCCACTCTTGCCCCTCCCATTTGTAAACCTACCCATTGATCTGGGAAGGAGTCCTTAGCCCAGGACCCATTGATTCCCAAGAAAGTCATAGAAGGATATTAATAGGGCCATGAAATAATTACACAAGTTGGGTATGCCTTTGTGTATCCAAGGGGTTTTTAATGAAGGCTATAGTTTCCATCAATTCAGTGACCTAGACCTGAGAAATGTTAAGAACCATTATTTTAAAGCCTAGCTCAAATACTATTTCAATGCCATAGAGCTATGATCCTCAATCCTCTACCCCTACCACCATCACCCTTGGTCGGCCTGTAGTCATCTCACTTGTCTCATAAAACCTCAACATTTTGCTTAATAATTGAGATCATTTACATACAGTAGAGTGCACAACTGTGTAGTTCAATGAATATTTACACATGTATACACGCATGTAACCAGCACCCAAAAGAAGATATAGAATATTTCCAGCTAACCTACAGGCTCTTTCATGCCCCTTCCCCATCAATGCCATTGGTAAGATTGATGCCTCCCCATGAATGCCCCAAAGGTAGCCATTACTATGGCTTCTATCTTCATGGATTCATTTTGTCAGTTCTTGAACTTTATATAACTGGAATCATACAGTAAGTAACCTTTATTTGGCTTTTTGTTATTGTTGCTCAACACTATATGAGGTTCGTTCATTTTGTTGTATGTAGTGAAAGCACATTCTTTTTCATTAGTAGTCTATTGTATGACTATTCCACAATTTTCTACTCTATTGCTGGTTGACATGTGGGTAGCTTCCAATTTGAGGCTGTAAGCATGCACCTTGAAAGATGAACAATGAGACTCCCAGACCTCTTCCTCCACACAGTTCCTAGTTGCAGACAACTTGACTTCTAGTATCCATACTGGATGTGGAAGAATTTTCTCTGATAAATATCACTACCAGGAAGTGGGTGACTATTCTCTAATTTGCCTAGGATAGTCTGAGTTTATGCCTGACAATCAGGCATAGTAACAGCACATACTTTCACTCTCAGAAATGTTCCATTTTGGACCACAAATTATAAGGTTAACTTACTAAGAGGGAAAGTTTAAAGGTAATAACATTGGAACTTCCCCCAACAATTGACTCAACCAGGGCACCCTACAGAGAAATTCAGCTACAAGACACCCCCCTCAAGACACCCAGTGCTCACAGCATTTAGTCCCTGTTAGTTTTTTGTTTTATTTTTTGCTGAGGAAGATTGGCCCTGAGCTAACATCTGTGCCCATCTTCCTCTGCTTTATATATGGGACACCTGCCAAAGCATGGCTTGATGAGCCGTGCATAGGTCTGTGCCCAGGATCTGAACTCGTGAACCCCAAGGCCACCAAAGTGGAGCACGTGAACTCAACCACTACACCACTGGGCTGGCCCCCAATTAGTCCCCATTGTTAATGAGCAGCCAACCAAGGATCACAAGACATCTAAAGAAATTCTCTAAAATAAGACTGAAAAACACAAACAGAAAATTGCCGCTTGGGGAACCAGGGCCTACAATAAGTAAAATTCAAAACAAACAAATTACCATTACATCTTCAGAGATAATAAATTACGTGGCATCCACGAAACAAGATCAAAATGCTTTATAGAAATGAACGTTCAGAAAACACAAAAGAGCTCTTGGAAATTAAAAGCATGATATTAGAATCTAAGTGAGTGCTTGGAAGATACGGTTGAGGAAATATCCCAAAGAAGTTAAAAATAGGGAAAAAGGAACAAGAAGACTTGAAGACCATTGCACTAGATCCAATATCCAAATAATAGGATTTCCAGAAAGAGAAAACGGAGAAAATGGAGGTAAGGAAAACTTCAAACAAATAATTCAAGAAAATTTCCCAGAACAAAAGGGCTATGAGTTTCTAGATTGAAAGGGACTCTGAGAACCCAGCACAATGGATGAAAATAAACCTGACCGTGCAATTTCAGACCACCATGGATGATGAGAAGATTCTACAAGCTTTGAGAGAGTAAAAATTAATTTTATGTAAAGCCTCAAGGGTCAGAATTGTATCAAATTTCTCAACAGCATCACTGGAAGCTAGAAACCAATGGAGCTATGCCTTCAAAATTCTAAGAGAAATGTATTTCTAATCTATAATTCTATACCCTGTGTATTAGGGTTCTCCAGAGAAATAGGAGAGACATAGACATAGATAATTAAGAGATTTCTTTTTTAAAAATTGGCTCACACGTTTTTAGGAGGAAGCAAGTCTGAAGTTTATAGGGCAGGTTGCCAGACTGGAAACTCAGGCATGAGTTGATAGGGCACTCTTTAAGCAGAATTTCTTCTTTTTCAGGAAGCTTCAGTTTTTTGCTCTTAAGGCCTTCACTAGATTGGATGAAGCCCATCCACATTATCAAGGGTAAGCTCCTCTACTTAAAAGTTACCTGATTATAAACCTTAAACAATCTATTTTTACAGCCATACCTAATGTTTGATTAAATAACTGGATACTCTACCCTAGCCTAGATACCCTACCCTAATAAAATTAATCACACCCAGGAAAACTAATTAAATTTGAGGGTAGAATAAAGTTATCTGTACAAAAATGATTTTCTATCTTCCTTTTATCTGGAAGTTCCAAAAAAAGATGTATTTTACCAAAATGAGATAGTAAACCATGAAAGAGAAAGCCATGGGATCCAGAAAACAAGAGATTCACCCCAAGAAAGAGGTGAAGGGAATACCCAGGATGAAGGTAAAGGGAGAGTCCAAGATGGCAACTATGGGGGAGCTCTAGAAACCAATCAGTCCAGATTGGAGCAGGTCAGATGGCTCTGGGTACAACTTCTCCAAGAAGATGAAGATACCCAAGTGATTAATACAATGAGAGAAGAAAATTTCAAATCTAGGCCCTCTGGATTTTGTCCTGGAGCAAAAAAAAAAAAGACTATTAGCAGAAAAAACGGTGAAATCTGAATAAGGTATGAAATATAGTTAATAGTGTAGTACAAAGGTAAATCTCTTTTGACAAATATACCATGATTATATAAGACTTAAACATTAGGAGAAACTGGGTAAAAAGTATACAGGAACTATGTTCTATTTTTGCAAATTTTCTATAAATCCAAAATTATCCCCCAAAATTTCATTAAAACTGAAAAGAAATGGCAAAAGACTTAAACAGATAATTCAAAGAAAATGTACGGATGGCAAATAAGCACAAGAAAAGATACTCAACATCATTAGTCATTAGGGAAATGCAAAGTAAAACCATAATGACATACAACTACATAGATATTAAAATGGCTAAATTTTTTTAAATTCATAATACCAAGTGCTGGTGAGAAGGTAAAGCAACTCTAACTCTCATACTTCGCCAGTGAGAAGGCAAAATGGTATAACCACTCTGGAAAAATTTGTCAGTTTCTTGTAAAGTTAAACATACTTTTATTATATGACCCAGAAATTCCACTCCTGGTATTTACCCTAGAGAAATGAAAACCTATGTTCACATATAAACTTGTATATGGATGCTTATAGCAGCTTTACTAACAATCACCAAAAATTAAAAACAACCAATGTCCCATAATGGGTGAATGGATAAACAGACTGTGGCCCATTCATACAATGGAATGATATGCAACAAAAAAATAAGGAAAGAACTACTGATACACTCAAAAATGTGTATGAATCC